CTGACACTCTGGTACAATAACACCCACTGTTTACCCTAGCCCCTGACACTCTGGTACAATAACACCCACTGTTTACCCTAGCCCCTGACACTCTGGTACAATAACACTGTTTACCCTAGCCCCTGACACTCTGGTACAATAACACTGTTTACCCTAGCCCCTGACACTCTGGTACAATAACACTGTTTACCCTAGCCCCTGACACTCTGGTACAATAACACTGTTTACCCTAGACCCTGACACTCTGGTACAATAACACTGTTTACCCTAGCCCCTGACACTCTGGTACAATAACACCCACTGTTTACCCTAGCCCCTGACACTCTGGTACAATAACACCCACTGTTTACCCTAGCCCCTGACACTCTGGTACAATAACACCCACTGTTTACCCTTGCCCCTGACACTCTGGTACAATAACACTGTTTACCCTAGCCCCTGACACTCTGATACAATAACACTGTTTACCCTAGCCCCTGACACTCTGGTACAATAACACCCACTGTTTACCCTAGCCCCTCTCTGGTACAATAACACTGTTTACCCTAGCCCCTGACACTCTGGTACAATAACACCCACTGTTTACCCTAGCCCCTGACACTCTGGTACAATAACACCCACTGTTTACCCTAGCCCCTCTCTGGTACAATAACACTGTTTACCCTAGCCCCTGACACTCTGGTACAATAACACTGTTTACCCTAGCCCCTGACACTCTGGTACAATAACACCCACTGTTTACCCTAGCCCCTGACACTCTGGTACAATAACACCCACTGTTTACCCTAGCCCCTGACACTCTGGTACAATAAACACCCACTGTTTACCCTAGCCCCTGACACTCTGGTACAATAACACCCACTGTTTACCCTAGCCCCTGACACTCTGGTACAATAACACCCACTGTTTACCCTAGCCCCTGACACTCTGGTACAATAACACCCACTGTTTACCCTAGCCCCTGACACTCTGGTACAATAACACCCACTGTTTACCCTAGCCCCTGACACTCTGGTACAATAACACTGTTTACCCTAGCCCCTGACACTCTGGTACAATAACACTGTTTACCCTAGACCCTGACACTCTGGTACAATAACACTGTTTACCCTAGACCCTGACACTCTGGTACAATAACACTGTTTACCCTAGACCCTGACACTCTGGTACAATAACACTGTTTACCCTAGCCCCTGACACTCTGGTACAATAACACCCACTGTTTACCCTAGCCCCTGACACTCTGGTACAATAACACTGTTTACCCTAGCCCCTGACACTCTGGTACAATAACACCCACTGTTTACCCTAGCCCCTGACACTCTGGTACAATAACACTGTTTACCCTAGACCCTGACACTCTGGTACAATAACACTGTTTACCCTAGACCCTGACACTCTGGTACAATAACACTGTTTACCCTAGCCCCTGACACTCTGGTACAATAACACCCACTGTTTACCCTAGCCCCTGACACTCTGGTACAATAACACTGTTTACCCTAGCCCCTGACACTCTGGTACAATAACACCCACTGTTTACCCTAGCCCCTGACACTCTGGTACAATAACACTGTTTACCCTAGACCCTGACACTCTGGTACAATAACACTGTTTACCCTAGACCCTGACACTCTGGTACAATAACACTGTTTACCCTAGCCCCTGACACTCTGGTACAATAACACCCACTGTTTACCCTAGCCCCTGACACTCTGGTACAATAACACTGTTTACCCTAGCCCCTGACACTCTGGTACAATAACACCCACTGTTTACCCTAGACCCTGACACTCTGGTACAATAACACTGTTTACCCTAGCCCCTGACACTCTGGTACAATAACACCCACTGTTTACCCCAGCCCCTGACACTCTGGTACAATAACACCCACTGTTTACCCTAGCCCCTGACACTCTGGTACAATAACACTGTTTACCCTAGCCCCTGACACTCTGGTACAATAACACTGTTTACCCTAGCCCCTGACACTCTGGTACAATAACACCCACTGTTTACCCTAGACCCTGACACTCTGGTACAATAACACTGTTTACCCTAGCCCCTGACACTCTGGTACAATAACACTGTTTACCCTAGCCCCTGACACTCTGGTACAATAACACCCACTGTTTACCCTAGCCCCTGACACTCTGGTACAATAACACCCACTGTTTACCCTAGCCCCTGACACTCTGGTACAATAACACCCACTGTTTACCCTAGCCCCTGACACTCTGGTACAATAACACCCACTGTTTACCCTAGCCCCTGACACTCTGGTACAATAACACTGTTTACCCTAGCCCCTGACACTCTGGTACAATAACACTGTTTACCCTAGCCCCTGACACTCTGGTACAATAACACTGTTTACCCTAGCCCCTGACACTCTGGTACAATAACACCCACTGTTTACCCTAGCCCCTGACACTCTGGTACAATAACACCCACTGTTTACCCTAGCCCCTGACACTCTGGTACAATAACACCCACTGTTTACCCTAGCCCCTGACACTCTGGTACAATAACAGCACAATACATTGTCTCAAGCAAGGAACAACGGGGCATTGTTTAAAATAACAACAGAGCAAGAAAGTAATGTTTAAAACAAGGAACAGCAGAGTAAAACAGCATTGTTTACAGCACGGAACAACAGAGCCGGGGACCATTGTTTAAATCAAGGAACATTAGAGGAAGATGTCGTATCTTGAGGGAATCTTGAGATGATTTCGGGGCTTAGCGTCGCCGCGGTCCGGTCCTCGACCAGGCCTCCTTTTTGTTACACACCCCTCAGGAAGCAGCCTGTAGCAGCTGTTTAACTCCCAGGTACCTATTTACTGCTAGATGAACAGATGCATCAGGGTGAACGAAACTCTACCCATTTGTTTCCGCCTCCACCGGGGATCGAACCCGGAACCTCAGGACTACGAATCCCGAGCGCTGTCCACTCTATGTATGAGATACATACAAGCATACACTCATACAAGCACTCTGGGCCATACACACATACAATTGTGATACAAGTATACCGAGAACAATCATGTGTTAACCTACGAATTGTTGGTAAGGCGGGGCTTGGGAGCCGACACTCGACCCTTAATCATACCTGGGTGAGTACATCTAGGTGAACATATCTAGGCGAGTACTTTCAGGTAAACAAATCTAGGTGATTACATCTTGGTGAATACATCTTGGTGAGTACGTCTTGGTGATTACATCTTGGTGAGTACGTCTAGGTGAGTACGTCTAGGTGAGTACATCTTGGTGAGTACGTCTAGGTGAGAACTTGTCCCATCAATACATCAATCTTCTTAGTCTTAATCTTGACGCCATTGTTAACAGAGACGGTCCACTTCCCCATAACGTTCTTCACCAGAAGAACAATTTGTAGTTCTACATCCTCCTCCTCTTCCTTGACAGACTGTATTTGCTATGGCAGCTTCTCATCCGCCTCCTTGAGAAACTGTGCTGTTTTTTTTTCACATCCACTTACTACAGTTTGAGTGGTCTACTGGTAGAATACGCGACTGGCAATGCCGGGTTCATAGGTTCGTACCCACCTATAGTCCTAGTGAATTTTTTCATCAAGGAGGCCTGGTCGAGGACCGGGCCGCAGGGACGCTAAGCCCCGAAACCATCTCAAGGTAACCCTGGTTTTAATTCTAACCAATGTTCATTAATTGCAATTCAGCAAGAGTTGATCAATAAAGATTTAAGACATTCTCTACAACACCTCACCAAAGGGAAGAGACCAAGAGAACGCAGTTATTATTCAGACAAGATTAATATCTTGTCTCATCACTCGGTAAGACCTCAAGGTTGATCACACAGATGTTGGTGCTTCCTATGTGATCATTTCCACATTGAGAATGATTACAAAATGATCAGCATTACCACCACGCGACCAAGCGTGGGCCACACACACCACACACACACACACACACACACACACACACACACACACACACACACACACACACAGAAGGACACACACACACACACACACACACACACACACACACACACACACACACACACACACACACACACACACACACACACACACACACACACACGGAAAACAGAAGAATAAGGGGAGACATGATAACCACCTACAAAATTCTCAGGGGAATTGACAGTTTGGACAAAGACAAACTCTTCAGCACGGGTGGGACACGAACAAGGGGACACAGGTGGAAACTTTACACGAATCTAAGAAAAAGCTTTACGTCAACCATAAGAAACCATCTAGTCACGTCACGTCTTAAGTGGAAATTTCATGTCATCTATATGAGGAAGCCTAACATCAACTCAAACAAAAAAGCCTCACTTGAACTCCAAACCCCAAGCGTCCCACAGGACGTTATGAGGAGTCATCACCTCACAATGTAGCAGGAACAACAGACACGAGCTCATCCCCCTCACCAAGTCACAGAAGCTGTACAGATAGTTAAAGGGATCGTACCCGTATGTACTCAGTCACATTCCTGGCGACTGAGGCCACTCGGATGCTTTTCCCTTCATTGCGTCAATGCCACTGTGGCTGTTCACATGTGCTCGTAACACTCAAGTCACAGCTATATAGCAGGGGCTTCAGAAGCTGTGAGGAGGGGGGAGGGGAGGTGAAGCTGTGAGGGTGGTAGGTGAAGCTGTGAGGGGGAGGAGCATACAGCCAACGAGCAAAGAAGGTCATCCAACTCTCAAGCATTAGTAACGAGAAGAAGATCGATAACAGTGATGATGATACAGAGAGAGAGAGAGAGAGAGAGAGAGAGAGAGAGAGAGAGAGAGAGAGAGAGAGAGAGAGAGAGAGAGAGAGAGAGAGAGAGAGAGAGAGAGAGAGAGAGAGAGAGAGAGAGAGAGAGAGAGAGAGAGAGAGAGAGAGAGAGAGAGAGAGAGAGAGAGAGAGAGAGAGAGAGAGAGAGAGAGAGAGAGAGAGAGAGAGAGAGAGAGAGAGAGAGAGAGAGAGAGAGAGAGAGAGTAGGGGGGAGAGGGAGGGACGAGCGCCTGGCCATCCCATCAAGGATCCCATAATTAAACGAGTAATTATTACCGTGTAAAACTTGAGCAATGGTTTCCGATCAATAGCGGAGCGAGGCACTCAGCAGCAATAACAGCTCTGTAAACACATCACAGATGAATGAAGAAATGCCCTTTGATATGCAACCAGGTTGGCATTATTTACTCAAGATATCGCAGCCATTTAAGCGACGCGACAAGTCAGTGTATACATGCTGGGGAACAGGGCCGCCCCTATAACCGTAGCCGTCTTCCTGACAACAGTAAACACCCCTCCCGTCGACTGCTAAATCTACGAGCATGTGTACCTCGGGATCTCCATCCCAAAGAAATGCCAAAGGAGATTTAGCCAAAGCCTTGTTTATAACTAACAATATTTGCATACCAATATGAATTTCATCCTATATCCTTTAATAATGCGACTGGGAGTGCTAACCATAGCATAATCTTCTCTTACAATATGGCATCCGCCCTCACAGCTGACAATAGCGCCAACGATTCTTACAGAAAATGTAACTCGGTCACCAACAGATGACTAGGGTCATTACTTTCATAATCCAAGGTTGTGTTTTATGAAAGAATTGTTTATAGATACAAGCGTACAGCTGAGCGGTGGTCAGCTGTCGATCCCACACTGACGGCTGCTGCTGCTGCTGCTGCTGCTGCTGCCAGATGTTAGACTGTCTCCTGACCCGATGACCTGAAGACCTAGTTCTCATTAGCGCTCGTTATAAGCCAAACACAAATGTAACGGGAATAAAACATGGAGAATAAAACTTAGTAATCTATTTAGCTCTAGGTAATTTAGGCGTGCGTGCGTGGACACGGTCAAGGAGCAGCATACCGATGCGCAGGCCGACGAGAGCCAGAAATGCCGACAAACATTTTCCCGCGCTGAACTTTCCCGCGCGTCAGTGTGGTGCCGAGACGCGCCAAAACCACAAGCCCAGGGACAAGTGCTGTCCATGATGCGCACTCCTCCCACCCACGTGGTCGGGGACAAGACTGTAGTCGACTAGAATCATACCGTGTGCTTCAGTTCGTGTCTGGTTTGGTTTTATAAATCTAATACAAGTCACAAATATTTATTTTTTCAATGTGAAACTACTGATAAGTGAATATATCGGAAAGAAGTGACGATGAGTCGGCTCAGACGGCCCATGCTCTTGCTGGTGTGGGTGTTGCTGTCGGTAGCAGCCGCTTACAACACCAATGGGACCTATCCTCCAGGTAACTCACACTGAACCTCACACTCACTGTCTCGACCTCACACTCACTGTCTCGACCTCACACTCACTGTCTCGACCTCACACTCAATGTCTCGACTTCACTCTCGCTGTCTCTTCCTCACACACACTCGTTGTGTTCCTACCTCACACTCTTTGTTCCTACCTCACACTCGCGTCGTTCCTGCCTCATACTCGCGGTGTCACTACCTCAGTCTTCGTATACCTCACACTCACTACATGTTCCTCACACTAAATGGACCTCACTCTCACTGTACCTCACTTTCCTTGAATTTCACATTCGCTTTCCCCTCACACTCTCGGTACTTCACACTCGCTGTACCTCACATTCTCTGTACCTCCCATTCCCTGTTCCTCATGTTCCTTGTACCTGAATTTTTTTGTACTTCACACTTGCTGTAACTCATCTTTGATGTTCCTCACACTCGCTGCTCCTCACACTAGAACTCCTTAACACACATTGCCTTAAGAACTCCACCTTCTAGATATATATATATATATATATATATATATATATATATATATATATATATATATATATATATATAGAGAGAGAGAGAGAGAGAGAGAGAGAGAGAGAGAGAGAGAGAGAGAGAGAGAGAGAGAGAGAGAGAGAGAGAGAGAGAGAGAGAGAGAGAGAGAGAGAGAGAGAGAGAGAGAGAGAGAGAGAGAGAGAGACAGACAGACAGACAGACCACATCAGTGAAAATTACTGTAACATTTCATCTTATAATAATGAGAATGTTCTTGCATGTTTAGCGAGTAAAAACGAAATTAAAAAAAACAATCACAGAAAATATTACATTTTCATTTCTCGTTAATTTGTTGTTAACAAGTCGGAGTGTTGTGTAAATGTTAATTAAGTAGTGTAACGAGACCGAAAGTTGTAGTGTTTAGTAACTCGAAAATTGTTAAGTTAAAAGTATTATATAATGTGTGTGTGTGTGTGTGTGTGTGTGTGTGTGTGTGTGTGTGTGTGTGTGTGTGTGTGTGTGTGTGTGTGTATACGAACGTTCTTTAACTAGTTACAAAACCTATAGCTTACAAAATTAGCGAAGTCATGCGTCAATAAAACATTGCGTAGCAGTAATGACAATAAAAGTAATAAGAATAACAGAATAAAAGTTATTAACTATCTTAATAATAGTTACATTAGTTAATAATGTGTATTATCATATGATAATTAATAATTAACTATCATAATCTTATCGACGATCCTTCGACACGAGTTAAAGAAATATTACCTGAACAACCTGTTCATTAACACGACGCTAACTCATCTAGCTCTCATCGGCAGCCACAAACTACTCACAAACTACACTTTACTCATGAACACAACTCATGAAACACTCCTCACTACACAGAGTTCAAAATAATCACCATATACCGTCACTCACATATTCCAACTTGAATCCTTAAGTATGATGACCAGACCACACACTAGAAGGTGAAGGGACGACGACGTTTCGGTCCGTCCTGGACCATTCTCAAGTCGATTGTCGACTTGAGAATGGTCCAGGACGGACCGAAACGTCGTCGTCCCTTCACCTTCTAGTGTGTGGTCTGGTCAACATGCTTTAGCCACGTTATTGTGACTCATCGCCTGCAATTGAATCCTTAAATCAACTAGTCACAGGCTAGACAGTGCTGAACCCGCAACTCATGATTTAATAATAACTAATTCGTCTTGTCGGGGGCAGGAAGCCTGGGTACATATGCATATTCTTTAAGGGTTAATACCGAAATCCCTCGCATGATCGAACTCCTAACTTCCCTTCCCCCCCCATCAGATGCACCCACACACATACCTAACTCCCAGGTACCTGGTTTACAGGTAGGTGAATAGGTGCAGTAGGTGAAAGGAAACGTGGGCCAAACCCCACCTTTCTGTCGCGCCCGGTAATCGAACTCGGGCTCTCCGATTGTGAGACGAGAACGATATCAACTGTTATGCGAGACTTTATGATGCATCAAGTGGCGCTTGCATTGTTAATCTCGTGATTGTGATTGTCTAGTTCGCAGGAAGGTTTTTCCCTTTCACGAACCGGTTCTCCGGCCTGTGTTTCTTTCACGAACCGGTTCTCCGGCATGTGTTTCTCTCACGAACCGGTTCTCCAGCCTGTGTTTCTCTCACGAACCGGTTCTCCAGCCTGTGTTTCTCTCACGAACCGGGTCTCCAGCCTGTGTTTCTCTCACGAACCGGGTCTCCAGCCTGTGTTTCTCTCACGAACCGGTTCTCCAGCCTGTGTTTCTCTCATGAACCGGTTCTCCGGTCTCTGTTTCTCTCACGAACCGGTTCTCCAGCCTGTGTTTCTCTCACGAACCGGTCCAATAACATGTTTCATGAAGATACGGACATCATGGCTCCCGAAGGATGAATTCGCGGCTCCAACATCAAGACGGTTCGACTCCTGTCTTGCCCATAGACTCGGCCAAGGACTCGGCCGCGTGTACCCGCTTGTGCCAAAGCTGTGCTCTGATATCCCTAGTTCAGAAACACACATTAGCTGCCCCTAACCCTGGAAACACAAACCGAAACTGTCTCTATTTTCCGCTTGTTACAACTTGTAATAAAGTTGTTACATCTTGGCTTAACGTGTTTATGACGTATTAGAACGTTGTTACAACTTGCTATATTGATTGTTATAACTGGTTAGGAGGTGTTAAAACTTGTTGGAACGTTGTACCAACGTCGTAGTTTCGGTGTGTGTTTGGCGGGAAGAGCTCTGCCAATCCGCTTTGCGCTGGCAATGGCATGCCATCGTACACTAGTTACGCATAATTACTCGCAGATTTTTTAAGTTAAAGGGTTATTCAGATTGCGTTTTGGAGCGAAACCGGATAATTTTACAGTCCGTTGTAAGTGTATAAAATTTAATAAACGATTAACATAATATATTACATGTTTTATACGGGAAAGAAACATAAGATAACGGGGAAAAAAATCAATATATTTAGTATATTTCTATTTGAAAATTGTTTTAATTTACAATGCCTGGTGGATATGCGCTCAAATGATTTATTTACAAAATGAATGAGTCGGGTGAGAAGTTAGGTGACAAGCCAGGTGAGAAGCCAGGTGAGAAGCCAGGTGAGAAGCCAGGTGAGAAGCCAGGTGAGAAGCCAGGTGAGAAGCTAGGTGAGAAGCCAGGTGAGAAGCCAGGTGAGAAGCCAGGTGAGAAGTTAGGTGAGAAGCCAGGTGAGAAGCCAGGTGAGAAGCCAGGTGAGAAGCCAGGTGAGAAGCCAGCCTCATATATCACCTGAGTTGAAACACCTTCAAATTACTATAACTCACCGCAAAGTGTCCATATGTGACCCATTTCTATTAAAAATTTGTGTTGTATATAAACATAAACATACGAAACAAAGCCTCTTTCAATAAACATACTTTGCTTCCCTGATTTTTTTTTTCTACCGGAGGTGAAGTTTATGCAAAGTTAGTAATTAAAAAAATGACGGGCAAAGTTTTCGCTCGAAGTAAAATATTAAAGCGGCAGTGAAAATTCATTTACTTCGGTGAATATTTTAACTCTGAGGTGATGATGGGACGCAGTTAAAGTCTCCCGGTGTTATTTGTCGGAGCGTACGACAGCTGGTCCTCGTTCGATGCTCAAGTCATTCATGTCTACCCACAGCTTACTCACACAAGCTCTGTTTTACACACTGCTGTTCTTCTAAGTTTAGTTCTACAAGCTTTGTTTGAATCATTATAATTTTCCTCTAAGCTTAGTTTTACAAGCTTTACTTAAATCATTATACTGTTCCTCTAAGCTTACTTTCACAAGCTCTATTTAAATCATTATATTGTTCCTCTAAGCTTACTTCCACAAGTTCTGCTTCATAAGCAACTTTATACAAGCGTATAAACAATAATTCTCGGAAAATAAATGATAGCAAATACTATTGTATACATTGTCTTCTTCAATTATTTAGCATATGAAGTTATGATAAATTTTACTATTTATATTAATTATACTTTATGATAATGCTGACCAGTAATAGGTCATTATTAACAGTTTTTGTTGAATAAATTAATTATATATTTATTTATTTATTAAATAGGCGTCACCTATTCTCTCTTCGTATATTGAGGTAGTCATTGGTGATAATAATTAAATGAACTTGCAAGCACTTTTCCATAAGTAGAGACTAATAAAGTGGAGGCGATGAGTCTAATCGCGATGATTCTCAAGTCGACAATCGACTTGAGAATGGTCCAGGACGGACCGAAACGTCGTCGTCCCTTCAACTTCTAGTGTGTGGTCTGGTCAACTAATAAAGTCTTTACATATGTAAAGTTACATAAGTAAAGACTAATAAAGTCTTTACTTACGTGCCAATGGGCACTCTGCCCCGCAAGACTCCCCAGAGCCCACTTACCACACACCTTTACTCGTGAAGTCGTTTATCAGGGGGGGGGGCATTATCTGGGGGTTGAAAATCAATCAAGTCTAAGAATCATGGTGGAGAGAGAGACCGTAGTTCCTCTCATTAACTGTTAACTGTAACGTTTAAAGAGTGACTCTTGATTTACCGTATCCTGCTGTCTATGTCGCCTGTCGAGTGCTGGGTGACTGTCATCTACTGTATTTATGTTTACCACGGGTAATTTAATCCAAAGAAAAACAAAATATAGAAATAATAATGTAGTATAGATGATCATGTCGTGGCGCAGTTGACTTGAGCGCGCCTTGGGACACCCCCGTACTCAGGTTCGAACCCTCATCAGGGGCTTCTGTTGGATTTGTTTTTTAATATATCACGTTAATGTGATTTTTTTTCTGTGTATAAATAGTGATACGTCTCAAGGGGACATGACGGGTATTTTAACTTGGCGTTTGAAAAATATATTTTTATGAAAATAATGGAAATTTTAGGGAAGGAGTAGAAGTAATAATGTCATGTTTTAGTCAATAAAACATGACATTATTAGTCAAGAATAACACCGAGTAAAGTGAAGAATACCACTGTGAAGATAAGAAG